GCCTGGGAAGTGTGAATGGAATCACCGTCTGTCAGTTCCGAGCGCAAAGTATCAGAGTCAGGGTTCCCTCTGAGCATTTTGCTAAGGAATCACTGACTGAAACTTGCACCCAAGTGTGAAAACAAACAGAGCAGAAAATACCAGGTAATCCTTGGCGGGTGTGCAGAATGAACAAGCGGTATCTCTGTTTATCTTAATCTCCTAACGTTTGGACACTGTTGTTAGAAAGCATGTATTAGTCAGGATTCCCTAGAGGAACAGAACTGATGGAATGAATCTACACACACACACACACACACACACACACACACACACACGATGACTTTCAGGCTCTGGTCCAGCTAGTCCAACAATGGCTGTCTACCAATAGAAGGTCCAAAAATTCAGTCATTGTTCAGTCCATGATGCTAGATGTCCTCAATTGGTCCTCCAGTATATAAGGAAATTCTGAAGAAGTAGGCTCTAATGCTAGTGAAGGAATGGATGGATTTTCCAGGAGCAAACAGGCAAAGAGAGCTTCCTTCTTCCATGTCCTCTGTATGGGCTGCCAACAGAAGGCGTGACCCAAATTAAAGGTAGATATCCACAAATCAAAAAAATTCAGATTAAAAGTAGGCCTTCCTACTTCAAAAGAGTTAAGAAAAAACTCCCCCACAGGTGTACCCAGCAACTTGGGCTTTAGTTAGTGACAGGTGTGGTCAGGTTGACAACCAAGAACAATCATCACAGAGCATAACGTAGCCCAAATGACCCATACACTGTGTAAAAAGAGACAGGTCCACCAGGTCTCGTTGGTCCCTGTGCTTCTTGTTCCTCCCTTGTACTGACAGATAAGGGAAGATAACCTCCCAGACCCTGTTGCCAAGGGCACAAAGCTGGTGCACATGAGACACTTACAATGATATAATACATATAATATAAGCTGCGAACAGGTGCCAACTAATATAGTTCCTGCTATTTCTGTGAGGTTGGTAGATACCACTAAGGCCCTGTGTCACTGGCTTCTTCCTCGGCCTTCAGCGGCTATTGTTGCTCAGGCTGCACCATCAGTCCCCCCTGCTCTCCTATTGTTCTGCTTCCTAATCTTCTCTAAGTGATCTAGGAATAACTCATAGATGTTGCAGGATTCCTGCTCCAACAGCATTCCTCCCACAACAGGGGATTAAAACTGTGGAGGTGTGGCAAGAGCCCCAGCTTCTCTCAGATGAACATGAATGATTCTAAGGCTTCCTTGTATAGTACTAAAAAAATTCTCATGGAACCCACTCTCTGATGTTGCCCCCGAAACTTTGCACACATGAGCTTCTCCTCCAGACCTGGATACCGGCCAAGTGTATGGTCAGGTCCTCAGAGGTGATTCCATGCTCCACTCTGCTGAGCCTCCTTCAGGCAAGCCATCTCTATACAAAATGCATGGTTCTGTCTCTGTTCCTTTTCCGGTTCCTGTGATAAGGTATCCAGACAAAAGCAACTTAAGGTAGATGGTTTGTCTCGCAGTTCAATTCCATCGCGGCAGGGAAGTCACAGTGGCATGAGCTTGAGACAGTTGTTGAACTATATCAGCATTCAGTAAAGAGCACTTACTGCTATTTCAGAGGACCTGGGTTCAATTCCCAATGCCTGTACTTCTAGTTCCAAAGGATCCAATGCCCTCTTCTGGATTCAGGGGACTCCTGCCTGCATATGGTGCACGGAAAAGCACACAGGCACATACACATAAAAATAATAGATAAATCTTCCAAAAGAAAAAATAAAGCAGAGCAATGAATACAGGTTACTCAGTTCAGTTTCTCCTTTTTATTTTTCTAATCAATCTCACCTCACTCCCGCTCACTCTTATCTCCCACTTTCTCCTTTTTATACCATACAAGAGCCTATCCTAGGGAATGATACCACCCAAAGTGGGCAGGACTTCCCACCTTAACTAATGTGGTCAAGGTAAATCCCCATAGGCATGCCACAGACACATCTCCCCAGTGATTCTAGATCTCATCAAGTTGACAGTTGAGATTAGCCACCACAGGTCCTCCCAGGACATTGGGTCCCTCATTCTTATCATCATTGTTTAGTTGACCGTAGATCTAGTCACTGGGCGGGGTGGGAAGGGGGGCACGTGTCCATATACTTTCCCAGCAGCTTTTGCACAAAAGTCCACTGAAACTCAGAAGTCTGCAGGACAAGGCAACTTGCTTGTAACTCCAGCAATCTTATGTGGAGATGGAGAATAAAGCACTAGAATCTCTCTCCATCCAGCATCCCTGGGACACAGAGCAGCAAACAGCAAGAGACCCTGTCTCAGATAAGGTGGAAGTTGAGGACTGATGCCCATGGTTATTCTCTGACTTCCACATAGGCTTCGCGGCATATGCATACCCACAATCACTCAGGTGAACATGCATGAACATGCACATGCATATCATAAACACACACACACTCATTTCATCTTCACATCAATCACTCCAAACACATTCCCCGTGTGAAAAGGTTGTAACCGTCTTGCTAGCTTTTTGAGAAAGAAGTTCACTGTAATGCCCAGGCCTAGAACTCATTGTGTAACCCAGGGTGGCCTCAAATGGAATAGCCCCTTTTGACCTCAGTACAAGTAAACACACTCAGATTTTTTTATTTCTCATGATTATTATCCTATTACATATCTTATTATTAAATTTTTCTTTAAAACTGCATAACTTTAAATAGCTCATGCTGAATGTTTTTGTAGTGCTAGCGATCAGACCCAGGACTTTGTCCTTACTAGAAGAGGCCTCTAATGTGGGGGTTACATCTTAGATTGTTATTGAACACTTTTCCCGAGAACTACTTAGCCTCCATGAAAATCCTGCAAGGCACTGCAGCTGGTTTATTTTACAAATGGCAAAACTGAGACTCCTGGAAACTAAATACAACTCTGTCCTTTGCTACTTGAAAATTTAATAATTCTACGCAGTGCATTTTGCTCATATCATCATCACTCACTCCTCTTTCCCAACCACTTCTCTATCCCAACTTTATATTTGCCTTTTTAATTTACTTTTTAAAATCCAATTAGTCACTCTGAAACACAGGCTACCACTACACAGAGAGGACCAAGAGATGAGTGATCCCGTACATAGCGGAACACCCCACTCTACAGGCCCTCCACAGTGGGGCAAAAACCTGGGCTCCTCCCACACCTGCCTCAGCTTCTCTAGCCAGTCAGCCGGCAAGCTTCCTGCAGGTAGGCTGCACCAACAACCCATTCCATCGATCAGATCCTGTAAGCTCTAAGTCCCACTCTACCCCAAACACTCTTATCCCCTGCGACCTCAGAGGAACTCTGAAACACAGGCTGCAAACTACACAGAGAGGTTCAAGAGGTGAGTGACCACCCGCCCAGTGGGGCACCCCACTCTCTAGGCCCTCCACAGTGGGGCAAAACCCTGGGTCCCTCCCCAACCTGCCTCAGTTTCTCTAGCCAGCCAGCAGGCAAGCTTCCTGCAGGTAGTCACATTCAACACCCAAACCCTCCTGTTCCCCATGACCTCAGAGGAACTCTAAAGCACAGAGAGGTCCAAGAGGTAAACTGCTCCAATACTACGCCCATCGATCAGACCCTGTAAGCTACAAGTCCCACTCAACCTCCAAATCCTCCTACCTGCCCCCCTCCCAGCGACCTCAGAGGAACTCCAAAGCACAGGCTGCAAATACACAGAGAGGACGTCTGAAGCACGGGCTGTGACTGTACCCAGTGAACCAAGAGAGTGATCACGTCAAGAGGGCAGACCAAGAGAGAGACCTTAGTGGCTCCCTGAGACACAGACAGAGACAATACAGAGCAGACCAAGAACAGTTTCCAAAGACACAGACAGCTGCTGCAAGGATTGGGCCAAGAGGCAAAGACACTGTAGACAGCTCAAAGGATTGGAGTGTGTCCCTTCCGGGTGGCTCAAGCTGGTCTGAGCCTCTTCCAGGCAACTCAGCTTGTCTAAGAGTGTCTCTCAACAGCCCCAACTGCTTATGCACTCTTGGAGTGCATAAATCTGGTCAGTTTTGGAGACTTCCTGAACTTTCCAGTTCCTTATTTCCTGAGATTAATGAGCTTCCTTGGAATGCTTTACTTCACTTAGAATATCCTGCGTACACCCGAGCGGTGGTGGAGCACACCTTCAATCTCAGCACTCAGGAGGCAGAGGCAGGCTCTGTGAGTTTGAGGCCAGCCTGGTCTACAAGAGCTAGTTCCAGGACAGGCTCCAAAGCTACAGAGAAACCCTGCCTCGAAAAACCAAAAAAAGAAAAAAAAAAAAAAAAAAAAAAGAGAATATCCTGGGTCCTAAGGAGCTTCCATTCAAGATGGGAGGTTTAGTCTTAGAGATGGGAGACTCTACACTCTCAGGGAACTGCTACACAGTACTAACCTAGGGACTCACCACTTTTCATCACTGGTCAGTTCCCCATTCTGAAACTTGTTTCTGCCTCGGGACCTTTGTTTGCCCTCGATATCCCTTTTCCTGGGGATAGCCTTTTTTTAGCCTTTCAGATCTTGGTCTTAAAGACATATGCTGAAATAAGTCTTCCTTGACTTCCTTGGCAAAGTATTTATCAACTTTCATCTGGAAATGTGCATTTACTAATTTACAGTTACATTTTTCAGAAGCCCTAACAGTAAGAAAAGCTCTAGGGAGCAGAGATGCTCACTGACTGTGGGGGTTCATCTCCACTGTCAACTTGGTTGAGTTCAGAATTAGCCAGGAGACCCATCTCTGGCCATGTCTGTAAGGGACCCTTTCTGACTGTGGCTACACGTGGTTTCGATGGACCAGCTGCTTCACGTTCCTATGGCCGTGCCTTCTTCACCACGGCACACTGTTGTAGACTTTCTTAAACTGTGAGTGAAGCTAAGTCCTTCCTTTTTTACTTTTTAAATGTTACATTTATTTATTTGCTTGTTTGGTGTGTGTGTGTGTGTGTGTGTGTGTGTGTGTGTGTGTGTGTGTGTTGGAGGATAACTTGTGAGAATTTGTTCTTTTCCCGCCTTGTGAGTTCCACGGATTGAGCTCTGGTCATCAGACTTGGTGAAAAGCATCTTCAGTCTGGAGGCATCTCCCCATCTCTGTAAGTCCTTCCAGCCTGGCATTCTGTGAAAAACAGTAAGAAGAGTTGCCTGACACTCTTGTGTTTCCACAAAGCTGGGAGAGCACAGGGCATGTAGCAAACCAGGAAAGGGTTTGCTGAACAAAACATAATGAGTAACACAGGAGAGAGAGAGAGAGAGAGAGAGAGAGAGAGAGAGAGAGAGAGAGAGAGAGAG